CTTTCCCCTTACCCCTGCTCCCTTCCCTATTTACAAAGAATTAAAAGATATCACAGTGATATATGCGCTCCCATGTTTATGGTGGCACAGTTAGTAATAGCTAAAACTTGGAAGCAGCCCATTTGCCCATCATTTGCAGACTGGATAAAGAAGATGTGGTTTTTCTATAAAATGGAATACTACTCAGCCATAAAGAATGAGAAATTAGAGTCATTCATAGGAAAATGGATGCATATTGAGGATATACTCTTAAGTGAAATAAATAAGACACACGTGTAAATACTGAATAGTTTCTCTGGCGTGAAAAGCTATAATTGTACATAAGATCCTAATGGTATAATTGATAATGTGAAATAGGAAGAAAAGGGCTAAAGGTGTAGGGGAAATGGGAAGGGCAAGGGAAAGGAAATAAGAGAAAAGAAAAAAATATGAGAAAATGAAAAAATGGAAATAAACTATTTGGCCCAATATCTGTTTACTTATATCTTCTGTGAGTTTGTGGAATACCTTATTGATATGTTTTGTTACCTTCCCTGATAGCATTTTGAATAATGCATGTGTGTAGCTTTTGATTTTCTTCCCTTCAATGCTCCATAGATTAATTTTGGGAGAGTTGGGAGTTTTGTTGGTTGTCTTCGCATGTTTTTATTTGTTCACTTGTTTTTGTGTTGCTATTTGTGAGTTGACTAAAGGAGTACTTGTTTCTAGTATGGAGACCTCTTTAGCTAATATCTACTTTTCAGTGGTGTGCTCTGGGCATGGCTATTTGCTTTCGTCTCTGTCCAAGGATCCAACCACCTACATTTACTTGGGATGGAAGGTTGCAAATGTATTTGGCCCAGTACAATTTTCCAGGAATGGGCCACATTATTGTTAATGACACCAAGGCAATCTAGATATTGGCATCCCACAACAACCAATGAATAACAACAGCTATGTGACTTTGGCTATCTTAGTAAAATCAGCATCAGTTATAGATTCAAATACCAACTGATTCTTGACAAACCTTAAGGAGCAGCAATGTGCCATCCTTAACCATAGAAAAGAGATCTTTCATTTAGCTTGAACACTAAGAAAAACCAAATACTGATCTACAGTAAATATGTATTAAATGGTACAAGTTTACCTTTACTAACAATAGAACAGTATTCAACAGCAACAGCATAAAGTTAACTATCTATCTAGAGATTGATAAAGTTTAGTAGTTATATTGGTAAATATAGAGGGGGTGGGGAACTGGAAATAAGAAAGCAAAATTTGAGAAATTAATCACTGTGTTACAAGAAGGAGGAGAGAAAAGTAAGATGGTCATATTGAGGAGTAAAAGGATATTAATAGTGTTACAGCACAATAGCATAAAAAGAAGAAAAAAGATAAACATAGCAAACTACATGACATAAAAGAAAGATAAAGAAGAGGAAAAAGGTAAATGGTGAAAAAAAGGAGAGAAAAGAAACTAAAAGAGTAAAAAAAAAGGGATAGAAATATCTAAACTGCCAGAAAACCTGATAAAGGAAAGATAAAAATAATAAAAAATTATAAAAATAATAAAAAATACAAAAATAAAAAAATGGAATAAAAAAAATTCCTTTGTTTTTGAATGAGTGGTTTCTTTTCAAGACTAGTCTTTGGATCCATACAGTCATGATTTTCTCCACCTTGCTTTAGGGCCTATGGGTTTTTGAGGTGTCCTCACCACACCAGAGGCCTTTCTGCTCCTGAAGGGAGCAGTGATTACCATCCAAGTTAAGGTGTGTCCTTGCTTCTGTTTGTAGATGGGAAATTTGATTAGCCCTCTGGCCTCTGGTGGATGTAGGCCACAGGGTATGTGTTCAAGTGGACTGTTGAATTTGATGTCAATATTCATGGAGTCTGGTTGATCCTTTCTCTCTCTGGATATTGTCTTTGTCCAGGATCAAGTAGATGGATTAGGCCTCACCTCTGCTGTCTTGTGTCACAGGGATGCAAGAACAGGTTTAGAAGAGGTAGATGGTTGCACCTTTGCAGTGGATTTGTCCCCCTGCCCATTAACAAGAGTAATACTCATAAAAATGGAAAAATCAGCTTACTCACACTTCAGCAAAATTGGGAGGACAGCTAGTCACCCCTTTGTGCCCCGAAGGTGCAGTTTATAGGAGGGTGAGACAGGAGCCAGAAATGCTGGGTCCAAGTGCAGACTCAGCTTGAACTGGGGTTCCTTGAAACTTGTTTGGTATTAGGGCTGAGGGTGGGTGGGTGTGTGTGTGTGTGTGTGTGTGTGTGTGTGTAAGATTCTGTACTCAGTCTGATGAAGCTGGAAAAAATTCCTAATTTTGAAAGCTCCCTTTTGACCTCTTGGTCACAGCATGAGACACTGCTAAGACTGCGGAAGGCAGAAGGTGGCCAGCAGAGCTGGGCTAAGGACTAAAGCAGGTGGAGAGACTCAGGGCCCAGGGCAAGGAGTCAGCACTGTCTCTAAGCCACACAAAGTTGGACTACAGCCAGGACAGTCATGGGGACTTAGATGCCCTCAAAGAGGGTAGCAAGGAAGGCATCAGACAACGGCTGGGCCTTTGGCCGCCTGGACACACCCAGGTATGGGCTCCCCAAGGCACTGGCCGCTTGAATAGACAGCATGGGTTTATAGTAGGGTTGCCAGCAGGCTGCGTCCTCAGGGTCTGGGTGGCAGAAAGACACAGGTGAGCCTGCTGGTGGGTGAGCAGGGTAACCTGAGTCCTGAGCTCTGGGCTGAAACTGCTGCGGAGTGCCGCATGACGGGGTTATAGCTGTGGCTCATGAGCCCTCTCTGGACTCCTGGCTCCTTGAGGACAGAGGTTGGCCTTGTGCATCCTCCTTGCTTAGGATACAGTACGGTCCTGGCCCCCAGAGGAAGTTAGGTCTGGTCCCCCACGCTTCCTGTAGCTTCAGGCCCTCTGCCTTTGCCACGCCCATCTCTTCCCCCGACACGCTTCTATCCTTTCAAGGCTCTGCAGAGGTCACCTCCTCTGAGAAGCCTTCCCCAACTGCTCCCTCTACCCAGGCAAAACATCCCTGGGCCATGTCCAACCCGCCACCCCCACCAGTGTCTCACAACTCAGTCTCCCCCCAGGACCTAGGCTTCTTCCTCCAGGCAGGCTCCCAGCCTGATGTTTCTTCAGAGCCTCAGCTCCAGAGCACAGCTGCACTCAGTAACTGAGCAACAGGGGCAAACCTGGGGTTCCACCCTCCTGGCTTACCAGGTTGTCACATCGATGGGCCTGGATTCTGTATCAGGGCTTCCTTCCGTACTTCACCGGTTCTGCCAGTATCATTCCCTGTTCATCATCAGAGGGGAAACCGCGGCAGGCACAACGTGAAGAGTCGAGAGTCCCAGGGCTGTGCAGTAACACAGCTGAGACTGGAACCTGGGTCCCTGTCCCGTCTCCTGGCCCCCTGCCTTCTCCGGCTTGGGCACAGGGTCTGAGTGAGACCCTGCAAAAGTCCCAGGATCCCACAGGATCCCACAGAAACCCGAACTCAGAACTGGGCTCCTCGGAGGATGGAGGTGACAGAGCCTTCTAAGGGGGCTCAAGGAGGAAGGACAGGTGGTGCCGTGAAGCGGTGTCCTGACCACAGTGCTGGGGTGGAGCACTGTGGAGATGACAGTAGTGCATCCCCTAGGGCACTGAGGGGACCCCATGAGTTAAAATGCACATGGAGAGCAATCTGCCTTATGGTCCTCACATCAGCCTGTGCCCTGGACCCAGCCTGCCAGTAGCAGGATTCAACACTGTCCTAATCTGTGACAATGGGCAGGCTGGTACACTGCAGTGCTCTGCCTTCTGTGCTCTGCTCCTGCTTCAGTCTAGTCTCGTGTTTTGCTTGCCAGGAATTCTCACTGGATGACCGGCTGACCAACATTATGGTCTACTGGATGACAGTGGCCATCATCTCCTCCTTGGGCTATTACAAGGAGAAACTGGACCAGGGTCTGATGACCAGGACATTAATGGTGAGTCTGGCCAGCAGGATTGGGGCAGATGGGCCTGTAACTCAGGTGTGTGTGTGTGAGGAGAATCTGGGATTTCCCAGGTCCCTGCAAGGTGGCCAATGTGGGAACCATAGGCTACTTTGGATCGCTGTCAGGAAAGGGAGCTTCAGTTAAAGCCAGGGTGGGAGGCCATGGCAGCCCTAGTCTGCCCCTTTCTGTATCATGTGACCCTTGGACCCCTCCACAGACCCTGTATCTTCCTAGGGTGAAGGTCTGCAAGCCCACTGACTTTGTTACTTCCCCTGTGAGTTACTTCTCCTTTGTGAGAGATGGGTGAGGGCCAAATACACCAAGCTCCTCTTCTACTCTGTATGGCCTGTGAGGGCCACTTCCCTGCCCTGAAGAAGCCTGAACTACGGGCCCAGGGCATCTACAAGTTTGTGCTGCTGGTGGAGAGACCATGACTGGTGGGATGGACCAAGGCCTCCCCAGCCACCATTCCTTTTGCCTGAGGTTGGAGCTACCGCTCCTTCACCCCAACCTTCACCCCAGGCTCCTGTGAAGCTTCATGCTTGGATGGTAAATGATACCACTTCTCAGAGCCACTGAAACAAATCGATACTGGGCACGCTGAGCCACCCACACGGGGCTTCCCTTCCACGGGAGTTATTTTTGTTGGGGTCCTACCAGGCTTGGGAACTGCAAGGGGAATGTGGCACCAATGTTGTTTCCCTGGACCAGCTTGGAGCAGCTGCAGCTGGGATTCTGGTTGGAGCCAGGGACATACCTATGTGGTACCGGGCACACAGTACTGCCATGTAGAGACATGGGACCATGGGAAGGCACTGTCCATGTCCCAGACCAAACCCTGGAGGCAACAGAGAGTTGCTTTCTAAAGTTCACAGCTGTGTGGGAGTCTGATCCCAAGGAGGGAAGAGGCTGTCTGCCTTCCCACTAGGCCACACCCTCCCCAACACTGTCAAACATGGGAACGCCACACATGTGCCCACCAACCTCACCAAAGGCACTTTATTAATAGTCTTCATAGATCCTGTCTGTGACAGGGTACCTGGGTCCTGCCACAGAAACCTTGGGAAAACAGGACACAGGCTTGTGGTGGGACTGGGTGGGTGCTGAGCTCTGCTGTAGGTAGACACTTGGTCTTCCCCTTGTCACATTTCTCCCCATGATGAATATTGTCTATAGGGCCAACCTGGGAGACAACTTGCAACATATGATCTTGGATACAGACTCTGGGGACTTTCTCAGCCTTAGAGCTGGGGTGGGGGTCAGTGGGGGTTCCAGTTCCACCATAGCCCCACTGGCAGGCCAGCCCCTCTCCAGGGCCAAGTCAGGTCTGTTCTGCAGACAGCCACTTCACAGGTGGCCTGCAGAGATGGTGGCAGAAACCACACTGTCTTGTGGGCCAGAGGCTATGTCCTGGTCAGGGAGGATCCCACTGACATCACTGATGGTGCCATAGGTCTGCTGGTGCTGTAAGGACAGGGCTGTCTTCTCCGAGGCCAGACCACTCAGGATCCGGGGCACATAGGGCTGCCAGTAAATGAGGAGTTAGTGCTACCCAAAATGTGCCACCTGCGGAACTTTCCAAAAGCCAGAGCAAAATAAAACACACCACAACCTGGTCCTACTTCTCATGATCATACAGAAGGCAGAACAACAGAGAAGTTTCCTCCAATTTCCAGCACAGGATTCTGGAATCCCTCACTTTACAAGGGAAACAAGTCTATCTACACTGGGCCTATAAATGTTTCCTCCCAGTTCTAGCTACGGGTCTGGGCTCTGAGCCCTGCCCACTCCTCCTAGAAGGGGTTTCCATCCTCCCTGTCCTGCCTTTCCCTGGAAAGGGGGAACACAGGACCTTGTCCTCTGGAGCTTGCCCAGTGACCAGCACTGATAAGAATGCCTGACATCTGGAAAGAACACTGCAGAGGAGACCAGCTCCGCCTTACTCTTGCGCCCTGTGGCTCTGAGACCCAGCTCCCAGAAGCAAGACCTCAGAAGCCAGAGGCAAGGAGAAGCAGGAGGTTTTGTTTGGAACATTCTGGAGCCAAATAAAGCCTAGACTCACAAGCACCAGGACTGCAGAAAAAGAAGGCAGCGGGGGCTGGACTCAGGGTGGGCACACAGCGGAGAGACCAGTCCCTCAATGAGTGACAAGGCTCAGATATGCACGTTAGGGCTCAGGGGCACAGCAATGCCCTAGTGTGTACAAGCCCCTGGGTTTGATGCATAGCACCACAAAGGCAAAAATCTAGAGGGACTGGGTATTCCTTCTCCACTGACACCGATTCAGAAACGAGCCTGCCCCACGATCAGGGGCTTCCATCTCAGGAAGGGGTGGGCATGGCACATGAGACTTTTACCACCAAAGCAGCAAGCAGCGGGCAAGCAGCAGACAGCTTACTGTGAGTGGTGGAGGCTCCTGGGCCTCTGCCTCACTTCCTTCCTGGCTTGCAGATTCTTCTGTCTGCAGATAACAGTGAAGAGGTTCACGATGAACATAAGTGATCTCCCTGAACTCACACCCTCTAAGCAGAGAGACAACTTGACAAGGGGTGTGTGTGTGTGTG